TATCGGTCAAACCGCATAACAACATACGTTGTTCCCTTTGTCATCGGTATGTTATTTGCCCGAGATTCTATCATCGGTATCATCATACCTAGTTCAATCTCGTTACCGGCAAGTCTGTTTGCTCGTTCCGTAATGCATCATCCCGCAACTAACTCATTAGTTACATTGCTTGCAAGGCTTATAGTGATGTGCATTACCGAGAGGGCCCAGAGATACCTCTCCGACAATCGGAGTGAAAAATCCTAATCTTGAAATACGCCAACTCAACAAGTACCTTCGGAGACACCTGTAGAGCACCTTTATAATCACCCAGTTACGTTGTGACGTTTGGTAGCACACAAAGTGTTCCTCCGGTAAACGGGAGTTGCATAATCTCATAGTCATAGGAACATGTATAAGTCATGAAGAAAGCAATAGCAACATATTAAACGATCAAGTGCTAAGCTAACGGAATGGGTCAAGTCAATCACATCATTCTCCTAATGATGTGATCCCGTTAATCAAATGACAACTCATGTCTATGGCTAGGAAACTTAACCATCTTTGATTCAACGAGCTAGTCAAGTAGAGGCACACTAGTGACACTCTGTTTGTCTATGTATTCACACATGTACTAAGTTCCGGTTAATACAATTCTAGCATGAATAATAAACATTTATCATGAAATAAGGAAATAAATAATAACTTTATTATTGCCTCTAGGGCATATTTCCTTCACCAATTCATTCCATCCACGTAACAAGCTAAATCACGAGTGCTGCAACCCACGGCTCAGACCAAACATGAAGGAGAGAAGGCGCATCTAATCATCAGTTGAGGCAGCGTGCATGAGAGGGAAGGGGATCAGGGAGAGGAGTGGGGCAGGAGACCGACGGTCGAGGGGAAGGAATGGGGAGCAGATCCGTGGCGGCGGTGGCCTCCCATTGGTCCTCGTCACCGGCAACAACGACCTTCAGGTGACGGCCCGCAGAGGAGGGGAGCACGACGACAACCCATGCCGACGGAGCAGCAGCGCGGCGAAAACCACCCTGCTCAAGCCAAGTGCCTCCTCCCGCCTGCATCCGCGTGTGCGTGTTGGTGGCAGGGGCACGGCCTGACGGCGGCCATGGAGAGAGAAAAGGAGGGGAATCTGGAGGAGAGGGACGACATGGAGGAGGAAGGACGAGCAACGAGGCAGGTTAGCTTCGTATAGAAGGAAGGAATTGTTATTTTACCTGGTGGAGGTGTTATCGCGAGACGGTTTTACCTCGACACAGTAAAAGGAAGACGTAGATGTCGCAAGGAGGTGTCCATGATGCACACCATATTATTTTGGATGAGTGTGTAGCTACAGTTTTCAGCAATATTTTGAAAACCACAATGTGTTTGGAAATCATAGTATTTGCCACTGTATTTGGTGATCCGGTCATCAATATGTTAGTTCATGTTCTACCACACGCCCTATCGGCAGCTGGCAAAGAATCACATACGTTATCATAGACGAGGACTGCTTGTGGCTATATGCAAGTGTGGTCGCCGACAGGCAGGCAGGCTCAACTCAACGTATAGCATGCATACACATGCCCTTTCCTTTATACTATGCACCTTGAATTTTGTGAGATATACACATACATTGCTTCCCAGTCATATATAGAGGTTAATGCTCAATTCTTTATTTTAATTTTAAGAAACTAATTGGTGCTGCTTTGTACATAATAGTGTGGTTCACATGATTATGTTGCCCTGCCTAAATGATCATCACCACTCTTTCTATACCCCTCTATATATTGTTTGACATTTGTACTTTTCTATCTGCAGGTAAGGATGTACCTCCATTTGCATCAAGAGAATGTTCCCCATTTAAGGACAAATACTCCATCTGTTCTTATATAGAAGCCCTTTACAGATTCCAATATGAACTACATACGGAGGAAAATTAGTGAATCCCACTCTAAAATATGTCTATATACATTTGTATGTAGTCCCTAGGGAAATTTCAAAAAGGCTTATGTTTAGAAACGGAAGGAGTAGATGATAGTACATCAAGTGTCTTAATTTTCGTACCACAACTAATATTTGAACTTTTGCTTTTCCCGAAACTCTCGGGTGTAGCATGCGAGATTTACAAAATGGTTTGGGATTTTAGAATTGATCTATGCATTGGAGTGTAACTGTAGTTGGAGTAACCATACACAGATGGACATTACAATTTAAGACCTCAAAACAATGGTCCGGCAAATTCTTCCCCTGATGTCAGCTTTTGTGACTTGAGTAAGGTCAACGGCATCCCTAGGCCCAACAACAATCACACAAGAGCAATCAATGGTGGTAGATTTTTGCATAATGCAACTTGAATTCGGATGTGACTGTTCGATTTAATTATGTATCTTGCTATTTTTGCAACAATGTTTCTGAATAATGTAACTTGAAATGACTTCCTTGAAACTCACCTCTGAATAAACAAATTGGTGCATCTCATTCTCACATTTTAGCTTGAACATTTTGTATTTTCCAAGTTCTCATTCAGTTGTGTGTCATAAATAACACACTAGAAGTCATGTGCTTGTCCTCGAATAACTTGTACAACTTATTTTGTGCGAAACACACTATATGTTCCTATAGGCTCTTTTGTTCAATGCTGCACACCTCAAGCGTCTATCGTAAAGAAAGGAACAACTTCAGCCTCTGGAAGATACTATGTACATATGTTCCATTGACGTACAAGCATGTACCGCATTTCAAGATATTACAAATTTGGTTGAGCAACATGGTGTGGAGTTTGTATCTAATCAACATATATAGCACTTATTTATAGAATATTATATGTGAAAATGTTATCAGTTATAAATTAGTAAATCCAAAAATCCAATTCAGCACAAGCCTTGAATTTATTAGTAGAGAAAAAAATGACATGTTTGTTTATTAGTTATGATATGTGTTTTCACGCTGGCTACTTGCCGTTTTTCGTCGGACCATACTTTCTGAGGGGCAGATTTTAGCTTGAGAAGATTTTGCGAGAACATAGCGGTGCTCTTGCTCTGATGGAAATTCTGAGTAGGGTGTTCCAAACTAAATTGACACACGTAGGAATGAATGGAGGGAATATCTTTTTATACACACAATTATCATGTATAGTTATAATATTAGTCGAGACGTGTGTTGCGCATGCACACTTACTAGTAACAGAAAAAAATGTGAACGTGATAGCGTACAAGAGAAATGACAACGGTTTCTCAAAAAAGAAAAAGAAAAAGAAGAAATAACAACTTTTTTTAACACCGAAGTCGCTCACATACATGCGCATACACTCACTCCTATAAACGCATGCACACACACTACCCCTATCAGCAGCTCTAGGAGACTGAGCCGACACATCATTTTAAGATTGACAAAGTCGCCAAAGACGCATTCATAGTCGATGGAAACGTCTCCTCCAACTGAACACATGTACAATGTGTCACAGGCTCATAGTCGCCACGGTGACGCTTCGGTGAAACGGCGGTCGCAGGCCAGTGGGATGTGGGGCACGGCATACGTGCCCCGCAGCAAGTCGTGGGCAACAAACTCACAGGAAGGTGGAACCCGTCCCGCGATACCACCTTGCATGGGCCGTGGCTGCCGTAGCGCACCATCAAGTTGGTGTTGTACGGGTCCTACCTCCGCAACACGACACCAGCGGCTGCCTCGCCGAACCCATGTCTGCGTCGGTTCGCAATGAAGTCCATGGCCCGACTTAGTAGTCGGCGTAGACGACGGCCATGCCAGGGTGCCGCCGGCCGAACGCGAGGAGCTCCGCCCTGAGCACGCGGTTGTGTAGCCCGGCGAAGTTGTTGAGTCACCTGAGGCAACTAAAGTGCATCGTACCGGACAATTCCTGTTTGGCGCCTCAAGCGCCCACCCCGTCCCCCGGGAGCTGCGCCGGCCTGATTCATTTTTTTTCTCTGTTTTCTAAACTGAGAAAAAATGCGCACAAACTATGATTTGAACCCCATGACGTCATGTTTGGTGTAAGACGTGATAACCACCCGGCCACCTCACCTTGATGCGATTATATATAAGTTTTTCTTATTTTCTTCTTTCTTCTCTAACTTTTTCCCCTCCTTTCTTTTTCTTTTTCTCTCCCTTTTTTCCTTTTTCTAATTCGTGGACTTTTTCTTTAGACAGATGAACTTTTTCTTTTTCCAAAATGCATGAACATTTTTCAAAATGGATGAACTTCTTTCAATTTAGATGAACTTTTTCCAAATTTTATGATTTTTTTTTCAAATTTAATGAACTTTTTTGAATTTGTGAACTATTTTTCAGAATCGATGATTTTTTTTCAAAATTGACGAATATTTTTATGAACCATTTTTCAATTTTTTGAACTTTTTACACAGTTAATGTTTTCTACTTTTTTGTGGATTTTTGTTTTGAAATAATTTATACTGTGCATATAATTTAGTGTTTTAGTAGAAGAAGGTTTTTTTTCCCTGATAGCGAACAAGGATGTTAGCTCGTTCCAGTGGTTTTGGCGCCATGTTGTTAACAGACTAACAGTTCGACCCTGAGTTTGAATCCCGTTTCTCCCCTATTCTAATCTAAACCTTTTATTTTCTGACGAAGAGATGTCTGGGTACTTCCCTCTCAATGTTCTGAATCCCTCGCGGACCGGCCTGGAACAGGGACAAGTTGTAGTTGTTCCCGCCGATCTCTCCCACCAGGACAACGAGCTCACCATTATTTTATTTTTAATTTTTTTGCTAATACGCGTATCTACGAGTGTGGCTGATCAGCCAAGTTTCAATCAAGTGACACAATATGTGAAAAAAAAATTAATGAAAATTTTGCACGAATTTTCACGTAAGATCTCATGAATATAGCATTAGCTGAGACTTCGTTAAGTCTGAATGGACCGAGATTTAGAAATCTGGTGTACGTTTATTCCGCGCGTCAAACAGAGACCAACCAAGAACGCGCGTCAAACAGACACCAACCAAGAAGAGGTTTGGCGGCAGCAATATATACGTACACATGCAGCTCTAGCAGCCGTGGTTGCATGTAGACATGATGGGCGGCACGGCGAACGGGCCGTCGAGCATTCCGCGGGCCATGATCCTGTACGCCGCCTCCGTCATGTGCAGGCCGTCGAACGACACATACCTTGACGGCTCCGGGCACGGCATCCCCGACGGCCCGGTGCTCAAGACGGGGTAGCATGCCTCCAGCACCGTTTCTTTGTCGAACCCTACACGCACAGCACGAAAATACGTAATACATACTGTAAGATCAAAGCCGTCCTGGACATGTTGTGTTGCCATGGTAGGATTCTAGCTAGAAGCTAGGGCTTGCCGTTTTGTGTAGGCGCGGTGACGAGGCCGAGGGCGTTGTCGTAGGAGTCGACATAGGTGATGGACACACTGGGGTGGTCGCGGCGGAGCTCCTCGAGCCTTGCTTCCAGCATGTGGTTGTGGAGGAGGATGAGGTCGTTGAGCCACCAGAGGCAGCCCGTGGCAGGGTCGCGGTCGTCGCCGGGGAAGAGTGCGAGGTACTGCGGGGTGCACCCCAGCGGGAAGATGCCCGGCACGAACATGGTCTTGGCGCCCAGCTCGATTAGGGCCTTGATGGACAGAGCGATGGAGCTGATGACCTGTGGCACGAGGGGCCTGACCCATTCAAGCGTCTTGTTCCGCGAGAAGGGATGGTTGTAGTCGTTTGCGCCGATCTCCCCCACCAGGAACAGCGAGCTCTCCATCACCTCCTTCCTCTCTGCATACGTGCATGACCGTGATGGTGTGGTAGGAGATAATATCCATGGTCAGTGCGTTTGGGTGGCCATGGCGCCACGCATGCCACGGATTTTGTTCAAGCTACGCGTTACCTTGGTCCGTGGAGGCGAGCACGGCGAGCACTTTCTTGAACCAGCCGATCTGGACGTCGAGAGAGTAGGGGAGGATCGGTGGAAACTGGTCAACGCTGAGATTCTTCTTCATGAAGAAATCCTGGCTCAGCGCCGTGGCGGCCACCACCGCGAAATTGGCGCCGTACCGGAACTCCTCCGCCGGAGACTTCCCGGCTGCCGCCTGCAGGTACGCCGGCCAGTACGGGAACCCCAGCCTCTCCACTGCACGTATAGTACCGATTATCATTCATTATGGATGCACGTAATGAGATGTCGATGTGTCGTCGAAGAACTCACCGATAAAGTCGACGACGAGGCGGCCGTCGGACCAGCGGCCGGAGGGGCGGCCGAAGAAGGTCTCGCCGTATGGCAACTCCAGGACGGGCCCCGAATCAGTGGAGCTGTGGACGATGAAGTTGCCGGTGTCGATCAGAGAGTCACCGAAGGTGAATAGATGTTTGTAGCACCTGCTCCGGTTCGCAGTCGCAGGGGCCGCCGACACCGTGATGGCCACGGACAGCGCAAGAAGAGCGGTCACCGCCGTGAGCTGCCCAGGCAGAGTTGACGCCACCGCCATTTTGGTGGACGGATGGAAAGTAATTGTTCTGGTCTCGAGCTAGACTCACTCAATTCTGCCCGGACTTTCATTTGTATATATCAAAGAAAAGGAGGGCGGCTATATGTGATTAGCAGCTAGCTAGTTTGTACTCCTAGCTTGTATGATGAAGCAAAGCTTGTTTGACTGGCTAACTGAAGCCTTTAACATTTTTAAATCGGGCCGGCTGGATAAGGAACTCGTGGCAAATGGAGTTTATAACCAGATTTTTAGTGGCCGATGCTACAAATCATCGGGCTGATACCAGGAAAATTTAAGCCTCCTCGTCCACCGTTTGATCTAGCCCGGCATCAATGGTCTGGCGTGGGCCGCGGAAAGCTGATGCATCACATGGCGTTGAGAGTCATGCACGTGAACTCAATGTTAGAATCTGGGCACTACTCCGCGGAAAATCCTACTTGCCGCTCGTTGCGGCAAGCTGTCGACCCTTCGCATACGGGAGGTGCGAGCCAGCGAACGAGTGGGCGGCCCGTTTTACGTTACAGCAGACTCTGTTTTGGGAACCTTCTATGATGTTTCCAACCGGTTTTTTACGTTACAGCAGACTCAGTTTCTTTTTCGTTTTTCTTTTTTCTATTTATCTTCTTTTCTTTTTTTCTTTTTACTTTTTTCTGTTTCTTTTTTTTCCTTTTTAAGTTTATTTTCAAAAAAAAGTCCGAATTTCAAAAAATGTTCCTGTTTTTCAGATTTTGTTCACAAATTCAAAAAATGTTCCTATTTTACAAAATTTGTTCATAAATTCAAAAAATGTTTGTGGTTTCAAAATTTTGGTTCCGGATTTTCAGAAAATTTTCCTGTTTTTTCAAAAATTGTTTGAATTACTTCTTTCATTTTTTGAGAAATTTGAAAATAATGACATGGATTTCAAAAAATGCCTGTATTAAAAAATTGTTCACAAATATCAAAAAATTGTTCTTATTTTTCAAATTTTTGTTCACTTATTAAAAAAAATTCACATTTCAAATTTGTTTGGGATTTTCAAAATTGTTCTCCATTTTACAATTTGTTCTAAAAATTCAAAATTTGTTTGTTATTTTAAAAATTGTTCCCATTTCAAAATTTTGTTCGAAAATTTAAAAAATGTTCATGTTTACAAAAAAAAATCATGTTTACAATTTTTTTTGTTCACAATTCAAAATTTGTTCTCCTTTCAAAAATATTCATGTTTTTGCAAAAATTACTATTAAATACTTGTTCAGATTTTTGAAAAACTTTTTTGTGTTTATCGATTTTCTTTAAAACTCGTGTTGGTTCTGTATATTCTGATCACATTTTTTTAGTTTTTCTTCTCAAATTTGAAAAGTGTTCGCATTAAAAAAATACTTTTCTCAAAATAATGTTCACATCTACATTACCTTTAGCTGCGCGCGCCATATTAAAACAAGAAAGCTTATGTAGCCCATTGGCTAGGGTCGTGCATAAGTAACAGGAGGTGCCAGGTTCGATTCCGGTATCCTCCAGTAGTTTTAGTCTTTTTTTTTATTTTTTTACTGTGTTTCGCTAATGGGCCGGCCCAGCTAGAGTTGTCCCTGTGCGTTCGCTCGGCAATTCGCCGCAACGAGCGGCGCATAAGAGCTCCCCTACTCCGCGCCCTTCGCTTATAGGGCACAATTTCTGGGCTTGGTCCTTTCCCCCATGGACCAAATGGTCTGGAAGGATTGGGCCCCACCAAAAGTCAAGTTCTTTGCTTCGCTCGCACTTCAGGAAAGGATCTGGACTGCAGACAGATTGGAGAAGCGAGGATGGCCTAACTGTGGCCCCTTCCCCTTGTGCCGACGGGTGCAGGAATGTGGCCCTCATCGTTTCTTTAGATGCCGCTTCACTCTCAGGCTTTGGAACATGGCTACTCAGAAATTTCGCATCCACGACATGGACACGTCCACATGGCACCTGTTTGACTCCGTTCATGCCTGGTGGACGAGCACATGCACCACGGGCACCACCGACAGAAAAGCAAAGGCATCTATTACCATGCTAGTGTTATGGGTCATCTGAAATGAGCGCAACGCAAGAGTGTTCAGGCAAAAGAGCGCACCTCCGCAAATCATGCTCAACATCATTGAAGATGAGGCAAACCTTTGGATCAAAGCTGGGGCAAAGAAACTAGGGTCTTTTTTATTGCGAGAATAATTATCATACTGTAACTTGGGTGTGTGTTGTAACAAACTCTCTCTCCTCCTTATTTAATATATATGAGGCAAATCTTTTGCCTCCATTTCAAAAAAAAATGTTAGGCAGCAGGGGCATATATAAAGCTGGGGTATATCATTTTGTTAGAGTATATCTCCGTGTATATCTTATGTATAGAAATATTCCAACCTACCTGATTTTGTCTGATTTGGTTGGAATCTTCCTTTGTCTCCAAGGCATGTAACTCCCATGTATTCCTATATATATCTAACACGAGGGCCGCCCCAGGTGTGGCGTATTTTGCCTAATCGTACTTGTTCAGTTGGTATCAGATACATCGATCCTACCCTCCCAACCCTACCACGTCGCCGCCAGCCTTCCCCTTTGCCATCTCCCAGTCATGGCAGGTACCGGCGACTCCGCCCAATCTTCCCTCACCTCTCCCTCCCTACTTGCCATCAACTCCACCAGCGTCGGCCCCCTCGTCAACACCACCATGCCTGCCTCCGCCTCGCCGGTTGTGCAAGTCACTAGCGTGCGCACCCACGTGCCCGTCATGCTTGATCTCCACACTTCCCACTTCGCCAAGTGGCGGATGCTCATCCGCGTCCTTTCAGGGGCAAGTACGACTTGCTCCCTCACGTCACCACCATCACGGCCGAGGCAAACCGCACGGCGGACTGGACCCATGAGGACTACGTCGTCTGGTCCTGGCTGTATGGCTCCATCTCTGACGAGATCCTGGGTATGATCATGGCAGAAGATTAGACGGCGCACGAGGCTTGGACTCTCATCACCGACCTCGTTCTGGACAACTAGATGACCCGCACAGTCTACCTCGAGGCCGAGTTCCACGGGCTTGTGCAAGGCGACCTCTTAGTCACCGCATACTGTCACCGCCTGAAGGCCCTCACCGACGCCCTCGCCGACGTCGGCACCCCAGTCACGAACCAAACCCTCATCCTCAACTGCCTTCGCGACATCAACCCTCGGTTCACCGACATCACCATGATCGTGACAATGCAGAATCCGCTCCCGGCCTTTGGGCATCGCGCTCTCTACTCGTCCTCCATGAGACACGGCTTGCCAACACCTCTGTCGTGGCGAACCAGACCGCCATGTACGGCGGCTCCAACTCCTCCCGCGGTGACGGTAGTCGTGGTGACCGAAACCACGGTGATGACAACCGCGATGGTGGCAACTCTGGCGCTGGCGGCAACCACAACGGCGGGAACTGGCGCAAGAAGAAGCAAGGCGACGGCTCCGGTGGCAACACCTCTAGTGGCTCCCGCGGTGGCCAGCCCGCGGTCGGCCCATGGATCTGCTTCAACCCATATACGGGCCAGCCACTGCAGCCCCAGGGCGCTCCCGAGCCGCACCCGACCAGTGGCGTCGGTCTACTCGGCCCCGGCCCCCGGTGCTTCCACCCGCCCAGGCGTTCACTTCCCTGGCTCCTCTCCAGGGCTGGGCTTTCGACACCAACGGTCCTCCGGCTCCCGGCTACACCCCCGCACCACAGTAGGACTGCTCGCGCTCATGGCCGCCTTGAACAACGCGGCCTCCGCCTCCAACGTCGGTGAGTGGGTCATGGACTCCGGAGCCACGTCCCACATGGCCTCCGACCCCAGTATGCTTCATCATCTCCTTCCTGCCTCCTCTTCCTCCCTTGTCACCGTTGGCAATCACTCTACCTTACCTGTTTCTCATACTGGTGATGTTTCTATTCCTACTTCCGCTCGCACACTTTTTCTTCACAATGTTTTAATTGTCCCTCATATCGTTAAAAATCTCCTCTCTATTCGTCGCTTCACTATTGATAATTTATGCTCAATAGAATTTGACCCGTTTGGTTTCCATGTGAAGGATCTTCGCACCAAGGCCGTGATCCTTTGCTGCAATAGCCATGGCGATCTCTATGTCGTTCCATCCTCGGTCATCAACCATCACGCCCATGGACTCATCGCCACCACCTCCACCGAGCTTTGGCATCTCTGCTTAGGACATCCGGGTCGTGACGCTATGTCACATCTTCATAAACAGTCATCTATTCCATGTAATAAATTGGCTTCGCACGTTTGTCATGCTTGCCAACTCGGCAAAAATGTGAGCTTGCCATTCACTAGGTCTATCTCGCATTGTGACGAGCCATTTCAATTAGTACATTGTGATCTTTGGGCATCTCCTATTTTGAGCAACTCTGGCTTTAAGTATTATCTTGTTATTGTGGACGAGTTTTCACATTATATATGGATGTTTCCTCTTAGCAACAAATCATACACCGCCACCACCCTCATCAATTTTTTTGCCTATGCCCGCACACACTTCTCCCGTCCACTAGTTGCTATGCAAGCCGACAATGGCACCGAGTTTCTCAACTCCACGATCACCACCTTCTTTGCCTCCCATGGCATTCTCCTTCGTCTTTCATGCCCATACACATCCACTCAAAACGGCAAGGCCGAACGTGCCATCCGCACCCTCAATGATGTCACACACACGCTTCTATTCCAGTCTTCAATGCCACCACCACTACAAAAAAATACACTTCCGTGATGATACGTGGTTGTCACAGTAGGTCGCGTTTTTTGTCATGCATGTACATCCATGACAAATTTATGACAAAATCAAGATAGTCATACCTGTGCTGTCGTAGAAGTGTTCCATGACATTACCAAAATTATCATCACGGAAGTGTCCACTTCCATGACGATAAATCGCGCGTCACAGAACTGCTTTCGTCAAGGGTGACCGACACGTGGCGTCCACCGTAACGGAACACCGTTAAGCTATCGGGTCGGGTTTTGGATCCGATAACCCGTTAACAGCCCCGA